TAAATGCTGTCAGCTATTCCTCCATGACATGAGATATTTCCTGTTAGATTTCCAGTCAATGGGGAGTTTCTTTATGTAGTTCTTAAAACATCATGGTTTAGCAGGTTGCCCTCTAACCAGAAGTTTTTCCAACTCTTTTGTGATAAAATAATAGAGAAAACTTTCAGCTTTTCTTTGTAAAGTTTTGCATCAGAACATTTTTTACCTTTCAAACACACAGTTTCACTGGTAATGCACAAAAAAACTCATGTTTCATCGTCATTTGCGATATCCTTTGGATATCACAGACTTCACTAAACGCAGTCTGATGCCACATCCTGAAACTTCGTAACAACTCAATAGATGCCTTAAGTCACTTATATGCAGCATTTTTTTTTACTTGCTTTCATCACTTATACTTTTGTGTTAAGATCAAGCATTGCTCTCTTCTTGGAGGCCATGGCTGCAGCTTAAAATGAAAAACTGAGAGTCTCAGTGGCATGGTTGTCCATTGCATAATTGTAAACATTTCACTGACAGGGTCGTTGTACTGTTAGGTGTGGCGCTTGCAAACATGTACGGATGCCATCGTATGGGGTGAGGTGTGTGAGTCTTGAATTTCCCAGTGCCATTGTTGTGCTTCTGCTCCTTGGTCTTAACTTAGCTACCCTCAAAACAGGTACCTACTAGTGAACTGAAGTGGAAAAGTGAAGTCAGACAGAAGTACAGCACAGTGAATAAGAGGAACCAATTCATACAGTGCTGAGGAAAGAAACTAAATATTAAGAATTTTTTCCATTAAAGTCTTCTGTTTGTTGTCCATTTTGCATTAGACAATTTCTGTTTATTTCAGTGCATTTATGCTGATGTTTGTGCTAATTCATGGGTCCAGAAAAAATTTCAGCCATGGAAGTTTTACGTTTAGTACAGGTTCCATTGTTGATAGTTCTGACTGCATATTGGTACACAGAATCTGTATTGTAACATGTTTAAACAGTTAGTGTCTTGCTGTCACTAGTCACTTAAGATTTGTATTTGTATATGTCCACTACTGTTTCACAATAGAACAATGTATTATCCACTTCCTGCATCTTGCACCAAACTAACTTGTGAGTCACAGCACTTTCTGCTTCACATTTAGTTTTCTGCACATGACTTCTGTTCTCTGCTTCTGAGCCTATCAGCCTAAGACTGTCAAACTTCACAGCTGTGTTTATAGCCAAAGTCAGTCTGACTAAAGATGCAGAGGGGTGGTGTGCTGTAAAATTCCTTCGGAGTCATGGCTTGAAGTTCCGGTCTCATTTGCTGTGAGATGTCCACGGGACCCTGAAACAGCAGACGTAGTTAAGTCTCAAGAATGTCAACCACCATCATTGCTTCCTAATTAGGGATGATGTAAACCTTCAGCCACTTGGTGAAGTAGTCCATGGCAATTATGAGCTATTGATGTCCTGTCAGGCTGTCTGGAGAGGGCCCTGTGATATCGACAGGGATCCTCTTAAATGGTGTGCCAGTGTTACAGGTGAATCAAGCCCTGGCTCTGGGTTAGGGGTCCTTGGGTTGCTCTGCAGGTATCACATTATTGGCAGCACCTTTCGACTCTGATTCTCATATACGAGGGGGGACCCAAAAATAACCGGAATTTATTTTTGCATTTTTATTGAACTGTATATTAGTCCCCTTCAAAGTATTGTCCGTGTGCATTAATGCACTTGCCCCAACGCTTTTGCCACTGCTCAAAACAGTGCTGGAATTCTTGAGGCTGGATACTGTTCAAAGCCTTTAGCATGTTTTCTTTGACTTCATCCACATCACGGAATCGCTTTCCTTTGAGA